ACCAACCCAAGGACAATTTAACAGCCTTCTTAAACTAGACTCAGGCATAATACACAGGTTTGCAAGAACACCAGGCATGGGTCACAGGCATAATAACACAGGCATGATATACAGGTTTGCAAGACTGGGCATGGGTCATACCTGTAATCACAGTACTTTGGGAGGCTGAGGCAAGAGGATCGCTTAGGCCAGGAGTTCGAGACCAACATGGACAACATAGTAAGACTCTATAAACAAATTTTTAGAACTATATTAAAAATTCCAGGGAACCACTCTGGTCTTCTGAAAAAATAAAACGTACTTTCACCTAAAATGTGTTCTACTCTGTTGGTAGAGTACAAAATCAGTGTAATTCTGAAACTGCTTTTCAAAATCCTTAAATAAGTGGCCTTTTAACAGGGTTGAGCTGGCCTTTCTAGTGATCCCAGTTATCTTCTTCATTAAATGGGTAAGCAGCCATGATTTCTTTAAAAACAGGCTAAAGAAAGTTGAAAGTATCTGCAACAAATTGACTTTGGGGTCCTACATCACCATGTTGAAGGAGACTTCTTAGAGGAGGAAAATCACTTTAGTTCTTGCCCTTGGCACCACTGACATTTAGACTGGCTAATCCCTTGTGGTGGGGCTGTTTAGCAGCACCCCTAGCTTCTAGATGGCAGTCACTATCCCCCTCACTCCCCGTTGTGACAACCAAAAAATCCCAATACATTGGGAGGCTGAGGTGGGAGGATCACTTGAGCCCAGGAGCTGAAGACCAATTTGGCCAACGTAGCGAGACCCCCATCTCTATTTTTTTTTTTTTTTTTTTGAGACAGAGTCTTGCACTGTTGCTCAGGCTGTAGTGCAGTGGCGCAATCTCGGCTCACTGCAATCTCCGCCTCCTGGGTTCATGCAATTCTCCTGCCTTAGCCTCCTGAGTAGCTGGGACTGTAGGCGTGTGCTGCCACGCCCAGCTAATTTTTTGTTTATTTTTAGTAGAGATGGGGTTTCACCATGTTAGCCCGGATGGTCTTGTTCTTCTGACCTCGTGATCCGCCTGCCTCGCCCTCCCAAAGTGCTGGGATTACAGGCATGAGCCACTGCACCCCCGCATCTCTATTTTTTTAAAGTTAGAATTTATTGTGTTACTAAAAGTGATTTGGAAAATTACACCTTTAGTTTAATTATTGGGGATTACACTGTCAGTCTCTTACCCTTGTGTATGGAACTATGTCCAGAATAAAATTTATGTAGATCCTAAACAATGTTATGAGAATCTGATTGTTATTTGTCACATTGACTTAAAAATTAGTATCTCAGTTGACGTGGTATTCATGCCTGTTATCTTAGCACTTTGGGAGGCCAAGATGGGAGGATCACTTGAGGCCAGGAGTTCAAGACCAGCCTAGGCAACATGGCCAAACCCCACCTTTACAAAACAATACAAAAATTAGCCAGGCAATGTGTCTCACTACTCTACTGGCCCTGTAGTTCCAGCTACTCTCAGGAGGTCAAGGTGGGAAGATTACTTGCGTCCAGCAGGTCAAGGCTGCAGTGAGCTGTGATTGTACCACTGGTCTCAGCATGGGCTACAGGGCAAGACCGTGTCTCAAAAATAAATAAATATATCAGCAACTGAATGTTTCAAAGCTGTCAATGTGTATTGGTTCAACCAATAGCCACGGCCTGATCCTTATAATTAAATTTTATAACTAGCAATAACAAAAAAGTTAATGGACTAAAGAGGCATATAAGAATCTTCTCATGACTGGATTTTTTTCCCCCTTTGATCAGCGAGGGACATAAAGTAACCGAAAACTATGGCTTGGCATATGTTTTTTAAATTACTACATTAGAAGCAGCTATACTTTTTAAAATTTTATTGATTTACCATCTGATCAAAGCATGGGATATTTTAACAGTATTATACATAATATTTTTACATAGAAAACTTTACATAGCGTTTCATATTATATAATTCTGCTTATTCTTTCAAAAATTTATACATCCATTGGGCAAGGAATGCTTTTCATTAAATTACCAATATTAAATGCACTTAATCATTGTGTATAGATTAAACCAAAGTAACTATTAATTAACTTTTAGGCATTTTAAGGAGGTAAAACATACATTTTGCACATAAAGAAATATTTGATGCAAATATGCAGATACAATTTTTTAAAAATTAGAACACTGAGTAAAACAACACCTTTGATAGAGTATATTGTTTTGTTTTGAGAGCAAGGATTTCCAGATATATTCATTCTTTAAAATATTCAGCTTTGGTTTCTTTGTTTCCCAAACTGCAAAGCTGCTGATAACAAAACTCCAGGATTTCAAGTGAGTTCAGCTATGTCTAATTTAACACAAATATTAAAACAGAATTCAGAAAATGCAGTATTAAGGATCCAGCTTCTACTGAAAGCAATATCCATTTGCATCATAACAACAAACATTTGAATGAGATGGTAATACTTGCACTTGTTAGCAGGTTCCTTTAACAACAAAGACTATTAATTGTATACCCTTAATCACAAAAGAAACGAAAAAAGTACAGTTTTTTGTTTTTTGTTTTTCTTTTTTGCATTTTGTACAAAAGTCACCTGTCAGAGGAAAATGTGTTTTCAGATAATACAATTTTCATAATGTATGTTCTTTGGTTGTACATGAGGAGTACAGGGAAAAGATATAATTGACTTTAATGATGCATATCAGAAATAAAAATTATTCATCCACTGTTTGTTGTTAAGATGCCAAAGCTGGTGATTTCCTTAACAGACAATGAAGAAAAACAAAATTGCTCAAAGCAGCAGTATTGTAACAAATAAAAACTTCTCTAGAGACCCAGCACATATAATCGACACTTAAAGCATTCTGAAAAAGAAATAAGGCCTTGGAAAATGTTTCACTCTCCTCCATTACTTGGTTAAATAAATGGTGTCCTGGCCTGATGTTGCAGTTGAACATACCCTTTCACAAGTGTTTGAGTGGCACAAGCCACAATTACCATGAGAAAGAATAGATTTATTCATAAAAAATTTAGGCTGAATGGCTTATTATTGGAGGTAAAGGATTTCCTCTGTTCGTCACTGTCCACTAACAAGAAAAATTACCCTGAATGGTTTTACATCCAATTTTTTAAAAGTCCATTGCTGGTACAATTCAAATGCCTCATTCAGAAAATCAAATCTTTAAAAATACTAAACTAATAAGAAATTTAAGCCTGAATGTTTCAGCAAGTACTAAAATACACTGACACATGTGCTACCCTGCAAGAGACAAAATTAAAGAGAGGGCAGAAGACACCAGGAAGTTTTACAGTCATATTCGATGAAGAAAATGACATGAGAACCTCAGAAGGAAAGGAAAAATAACTAATCAGGGATATAGCTGCATGCAAGATGGACTTCATAAATGAACACGTGTTCCCCATTTATACCTTTAGTACAAATATCAATGGAGACGACTGACTTGTTGAGGTGGCGAAGCGCTATGATACCAGGGAGCGTAGGATTCATGGTGCAGTGTAAAGGTACAGTGGATTCCAGGGCAAGCCAGTCAAATGTGCTAACATTTTCCACTCAGTAAATTATTCTCCCATGGTCCTTTCCTGCTGAAAATAGCTTCTTTTATCTAATGTATGTAAGTAATATAAAAACCTAAACCTGCTCATTTTTTCTTTGGTAGAGAAATTAAAACACTTTTTGGGAAAGAAAAAAGTAGACAAGAATTCTGTTGGCCAAAAACCAAACATTTCTCAAGGCTGTTAAAAAAAAACAACAGCCGGGCGCGGTGGCTCAAGCCTGTAATCCCAACACTTTGGGAGGCCGAGGCGGGTGGATCACGAGGTCAAGAGATTGAGACCATCCTGGTCAACATGGTGAAACCCCATCTCTACTAAAAATACAAAACATTAGCTGGGCATGGTGGCGCGTGCCTGTAATCCCAGCTACTCAGAAAGTTGAGGCAGGAGAATTGCCTGAACCCAGGAGGCGGAGGTTGCGGTGAGCTGAGACCGCGCCATTGCACTCCAGCCTGGGTAACAAGAGTGAAACTCCGTCTCAAAAAACAACAACAACAAAACAACCTAAGAGTATCAGTCTCGGCGGGCGTGGTGGCTCACGCCTGTAATCGAAGCACTTTGGAGGCCAAGATGGGCGGATCACCTGAGGTTGGGAGTTCAAGACCAGCCTGACCAACATGGTGAAACCCCATCTTAAAAAAAAAAAAAAAAAAAAAAAATTGAGTATCAGTCTGTTAGTAAGCAAAAGCACCAGAAATCCTTCTCTACAAAAAAAAAAAAAAAAAAAAAAAAAAATATATATATATATATATATATATATATATATATATATCCAATTTTACAGATAGGTTCCCAAACTACTAACTTCTAAGGCACCAGAGTTGACATCAATACAACCCAATTTAGAGGACTAAAGAGTGTAGGTAGAAGTCTGAATGTTTTAATCACTCCGCATACACTTATGTCTAACACTCAGCGATGCTCCAGGTGAGCAGAGGGTGAGGACAGAGAATGAGGCATGTGTGCTCTTCTTCATGGGTGAGCATCCACTATACTGCTCACAGGCGTCGGGTCATACTTGTATACTGCCCGCTTTTATACAAGCTGCATCAGAACTCAGTTCTACTGCAGGTGAAAGAATTGCACCATCATTAACATTATTAATAAGGACCTCAGAACCTAACCTTGCCAAAGAATTCAACTCCTAGGCTCAGATTAATGGAAGTGCTGGGCACATGTCACTTCCTGCCATTGTCACAGTTCAGCTGTGCTGGCCCACCACATCTCCAGTTCCACCCATGACATCTGGCTGAGGAGGTTCATGGGAGCAGCTTCTCATGCACTTACTGTCCCTCTCTGGAGGGTCATTTAATGGGGACTGTGCAAAGCAGTGACACTAACCGCCAGTATACTCACTTTTCTGAGGTAAAAATAAAAAGGTTTATTCAAGGATAAATGAACTCTGGTTAAATTACTACTTCATTTTCATTACTACTTCATATATTAGATTTCAGAGTGTGTGAGATGGACAGTGTATTCTGGAAATTTTCATTTAACACCCATCCACAAATACTTCAAGGAAGGCTAATCATCTTCATTAAATTGTTCACTTTTTTCTGTAGACTTTTCCTCCCCACGTTACTAAAACAGGGAGGTCCACGAGGCACATTTTTTTTAACCTCGCAAAACTCTCAATTCTGGCTTAGTTACTAAACTCTGACTTCAATCAAATTTTCAGTATCTTTTTGGAAAATACTTTAAAAATCACTCAGACATTAACAAAACACAAAAAACAACCCTTCTCTAATCCCAGTCTGTCCCTAAACTACTCTAATTACGGCTGACTCGTAACTGACAAAAACACTCAAATTTCTCTAACACACTCAAACGACAACAAAAAACCCAGCATATTTTAGGTGGCAGTTAGCCGTTACAAGAAGTTTTATTAACATACTCTAATTATCATGAATCTATATAGCTATGTTCGGTATTTTGAAGGAGAGTGACTTCTTAACAAAACATTTATAGCCAATCATGGGATTTTGCTAGAAAATGATGCATGTGCAATGACAGATTTGACAGTTTAATAAGAAAAATGGAATGACAGAAATGAAGCAGACTCCCCACCTACTGTGCTAACTGGGTATGCAATAGTTTAATGAAATACCATAAGCCTTAGTTGGGGACTGTGATGGAGCAGCATAGAAGCCATCTGTATCCAGGCCATTCTGAGATCCAAGATGCCAATTCCTTGTTTCTCTGACCCTTTACGAGATGTGCCAGTCAGAGATGGCATGCTGAACATTCTGCAGAGCTGCAGCAGTGGCCTGGGCAGCCAAGGCTACCACACTGGTGACAGTATTGCTGGTACCTGTGATGGCTCTTCTGGACTCCATATCTTATACACAACACCTATCCGTAAGAAGAATTTCCGCAGAACTGCTCGAAGCTCAGGGATCAGGTCAAACTGCATAATTTCACACAAGTAGGGGTAGTACGTTGAAGCATGTGCTTTGAACTTGAGGTTGGAGAAAAGTAGATGGATAAAATTACACAATTAATTTCTTATTTTGGCACCAGTTTTTCAAAAGTTTTCATCTCACCCTAGAACTTCTTTTTTTTTTTTTTTCAGACAGAGTCTTGCTTTGTTGCCCAGGCCGGAGTACAGTGGTGCGATCTCGGCTCTCTACAAACTCTGCCTCCTGGGTTCAAGCAATGCTCCTGCCTCAGCCTCCCAAGTAGCTGGGATCACAGGTGTGCACCACTATACCCAGCTAATTTTGTATTTTTAGTAGAAATGGGGTTACGCCATGTTGGCCAGGCTCCCAACCTCAGGTGATCTGCCCGCCTGGGTCTCCCAAAGTGCTGGGATTACAGGCATGAGCCACTGCATCTGGCCTACCCTGCAACTTCTTATAATATTGGCGCTTTTCTTGCTATTAGAAAGTTGGGGCTGGGTGCAGTGGCTCATGCCTGTAATCCCAGCACTTGGGGAGGCCAAGGCAGGTGGACTGCTTGAGCTTAGGAGTTCAAGACCAGCCTGGGCAACATGGTGAAACCCCATCTCTACCAAAAATACACGTGGTGGTGTGTGTCTGTGGTCCCAGCTACTCAGGAGGCTGAGGTGGGAGGACTGCTTGAGCCTGGGAAACAAAGGTTGCAGTGAGCTGAAATTGTGCCACTGCATTCCAGCCTGGGTGCCAGAGCGACTGTCTCAAAACAACAACAAAAACAACAAAAGAAGTTGAAAGAAAATCTTGCAAATTAAAGCTTCTTTCAGTTATATTTAACTTTAATTATATTTGGATAGTCTCGCTACCAAAAGTCAACAGCTTTTATTTTGTAAAGCAAGTTCCTATGTCAAAACCAGTGCTTCACAATCTCAACCCTCTCTTGCTGCATTGAAAATCACCACACCATTCCTAACAGCAACACATGAGGTCTAAATTTCAGCCTTGGTCAACTAGGGTTCTTCCAAGAAAAAGCCCTACTATCCTGTGGCACTCATTGTCTGTAATGAATTAACTTCTCTCCAATGCATCTAGAATGGTGCTGACAGTCACGTAACCATCCTTGGGAGAACTGGGAAAATAGTTACTGCAAACTCTGGAGTGAAAAGCCAACCCAAACCTTATGTCCTAGTGGAAACATCAGAGTTTACTTGTTCATACCTTTTCATCATTTATTTTGAGGGTTTTGGTTAGAAGTAACAACAGGAGACTTGTCCAGGCCTCCCGATGGCTTTCAGAATTCACGGTGATGAAATAGGCAAGAGCTTCACTGCAAACACTAGAAGAATTAGAGAGGGGGAGGCATATCAAACAACTGATTAACATCTCACATTCAGGGAGAACTATTAATTCTTGGGATGTCTTTTAAAAAAAATTATTTAAACTTTTAATTGCTTTTTTTTTGAGACAGGATCTCACTCTGCCACACAGACTGGAGCGCAGTGGCATGATCACAGTTCACTGTAGCCTCAACCTCCTCGGGCTCAAGCTGATCCTCCCACCTCAGCCTCGTAAGCAGCTAAGACTGCATGCTCGTGCTACCATGCCTGGCTAATTTTTTTGATGTTTAGTAAAGATGGGGTTTCTCCACGTTGCCCAGGCTGGTCTTGAACTCCTGGCCTCAGCAATCTGCCTGTCTTGGCCTCCCAAAGTGCTGGGATTATAGATGTGAGCCTAAGCCTCTAAGTCAAGCCACTGCAATAACTATTTTCTTTTTCTTGAGAGGGAGTCTTGCTCTGTTGCCAGGCTGGAGTGTAGCGGCGCCATCTTGGCTCACTGCAACCTCTGCCTACCAGGTTCAAGAAATCCTCCTGCCTCAGCCTTCCAAGTACCTGGAACTACAGGCGTGTGTCACCACACCCAGCTCATTTTTTGTATTTTTAGTAAAGACTGGGTTTCACCATGTTGGCCAGGATGGTCTCATTCTTTTGACCTTGTGATCCACCCGCCTTGGCCTCCCAAAGTGCTGGGATTACAGGTGTCAGCCACCGCACCCGGCCCTGTGAAATTTTTGAAAATAATTTTACTTCATGTGGGAACTTGTTCATAATACAATAAATTTTAACCCCCCCCCCAAAAAAAAAGAAGCTGCAAAACTGTTTTTACTTGCAATTTTCAGCAATTGGGGTGTTTTGGTGTTTTGTTTGTTTTTTAGAGTCAGGGTCTCACTATATTGCCCAGGCTGGTCTTAAACTCCTGGACTTATGAGATTTTCCTGCCTCAGCCTTCTGAGTAGCTGGGACTACAGGAGAACAATTTTTCTCTGAACTTTGGAGTTAAAGATCAGCCTGACCAATATGGCGAAACCCCATATCTAGTAAAAATACAAAAATTAGCTGGGCCTGGTGGTGGGTGCCTGTAATCCCAGCTACTCAGGAGACTGAGGCAGGAGAATCACTTGAACCCAAGAGGCAAAGGTTACACTGAGCTGAGATGGAGCCACTGCACTCCAGCCTGGGTGACAAAGCAAGACTCTTTCTCAAAAAAAAAAAAAAAAAAAAAAAATCACTTTTAGGCTGGGCATGGTAGCTCATGCCTGTAATCCCAGCAATTTGGGAGGCCGAGGTCAGCGCATCATCTGAGGTTAGAAGTTTGAGACCAGACTGACCAAAACGGTGAAACCCCGTCTCTACTAAAAATACAAAAAAAATTAGCCATGTGTGGTGGTATGTGCCTGTAATCCCAGCTACTCAGGAGGCTGAGGCAGGAGAATTGCTTGAACCCGGGAGGCAGAGGTTGCAGTGAGCTGAGATCACGCCACTGCACTCCAGCCTGGGTGACAGAGTGAGACTCCATCTCAATAAATAAATAAATAAATAAAATTTCACTGTTAATGGCTATATTTCATAATACCATAATTTAGGACATACCATAGCTTATTCATTCCACAGTTGAGCTGCTTAAAAACTTTTTGTCCTGATAAGTCTGCAATGAATATTCTGTGTGGTATTCCTGGTTCCTAGTTCTAAAATATCTTCTGAAGCAGATTCCATAACAGTGGAATTACTAAGTCACAGAGAATGAACACTTTAGGGCTCCTGGTATATAATCCCACCTGCTTTCCAGAAAGATCATGCCATTGTACACTCCAACTAGCTATGAAGGAGAGTACATTCTTATCACACATTTGCCAGCACTGTGTATTACTGTTTTTAAACCTTAGAGGAGGAAAAGAAAGCTCAGACATCAGAATCTTGCTGATGCCCAGGAAGCTGAGTGGCAAAGACCTACTTTTCTGGCTGGGCTTTCTCATCAGTATTCTACTCTTTCCCCACTGGTGCATTTCTTCATAATTGATATAGGCACATCCTGGTTATATGATTTAAATACATTCTTCTTGGAAAGAAGGAATGATGGGATGTTATTGCTGACAACAATACTAAAGAGGACCTGGACCCAAGATGGATAGTAACCTGCCTAAGGCCACAGGGCTCCAGCCGAGTCAGGACTTCCCTCCAGCCTGCTGACTCTGCTCAGAGCACTATTCACTGCCATGTTTCTATGCATAACTCACCATAACCTTGAATTCTTGGGCTCAAGAAAGGGCTTATCAGTGAAACATGAGCCTCTGCCCTCTTCAGGGCATTAAGAAAAGTATAATGGAAGAGTCACCAAATACAAGGAAAAAATAAAAAGGAAAATAATTTGTCAGAGTGTCCGCATGTATTTCCTCCCACTCTTTTCAATCCATAGTATTGCTGTGACGAATTTTGTTTATGGCAGATAGAAATCTAGTCAGAAACTAATTTTCTTACGTTAAAAGTCTCTGCTGTATTTCTTCCCAGGAATCCCTGCGGTTCTCATCAACATACATTCGAAACAGGATCCTCAAACAACAGGCCAGGCTGCTGGTTTCTTGTTTTAGAAGATTGGGTTTAGACTTGCCCTTAAAACCTAGAGATCAGACAGTCATTTAATTAGTGCACACTTCTAGAATAATGCTGATAATGTGTATGAACTAGAAATCTAGTTACTTTACAAAATACTGAAACATCTCTTTTTTCTTGAGACAGCCTCGCTCTGTCACCCAGGCTGGAGTGCAGTGGCATGATCACAGCTTACTGCAGCCTCCAATTCCTGGTCTCAAAGTGCACTTCAACCTCCGCCTCCTGAGTTCATATGATTCTTCCACCTCAGCCTCCTGAGTAGCCAGGACCACAGACATGTGCCACCACGCCCAGCTAATTTTTCAGTTTTTGTACAGACAGGGTTTTACTGTGGCCCAGACTAGTCTCAAATTCCTGGGCTCAAGCAATCTTCCTGTCTTAGCTTTCCAAAGGGATGGGATTACAGAAATGAGCCACTGAGCCTGGCTTGAAAGATTTTATATATATCCTTTTTTTTTTTTAGGACAGTGTCTCCTCTGTTTCCCAGACTGGGGTGCACTTCAACCTCCGCCTCCTGAGTTCATATGATTCTTCCACCTCAGCCTCCCGAGTAGCTGGGATTACAGGCACCTGGCATCATGCTCAGCTAATACTTCTATTTTTGTAGAGACGGGGTTTCACCATATTGGCCACGCTGGTCTTGAACTCTCGACCTCAGGTGATCTGCCTGCCTTGGCATCCCAAATTGCTGGGATTACAGGTGTGAGCCACCACACCCGGCCTATATATATTCTTAATACGGATTGATTATAATACCAGATGAAGGCAGCTATGACTCTTCAAAAGTCATCCGCTGTATAAGATAGCTTTTTTTTTTTTTTTTTAAAGAGACGGGCTTTCACCATGTTGGTGGTCTCAAATTCCTGACCTTGTGATCTGCCCACTCGGCCTCCCAAAGTGCTGGGATTATAGGTGTGAGCCACTGCGCCTGGCAAAATAAGTTCATTTTTAAATGCCCTGAACTGTTCTCCATTTACTTATTGGTATTTTATTTTATTTTATTTTGAGACAGAGTCTCGCTTTGTTGCCCAGGCTGAAGTGAAGTGATGCAATCTTGGCTCACTGCAACCTTGACCTCCCAGGCTCAAGTTGCCCTCCAACCTCAGCCTCCTGAGTAGCTGAGACTACAGGAGAATGCCACCACACCTTGCTAATTTCTGTATTTTTTGTAGAGATGGGGTTTGCCCAGGCTGGTCTTGAACTCCTGACCTCAAGTGATCTACCTGGCTCAGCCTCCCAAAAAACTGGGATTATAGGTGTAAACTACCTTGCCTGGCCTGCTCTCTATTTAGACTTTGCTTATTGGCTGGTGAAGCCATTAGTTTTGTCTTCTCAAATGTAACAACTCTTAAGAATTCCGGCGTTCTTGCAAGTTGCAAGATTATTTTTCTCCACAAATCACACATAAGAACACATTCTTTTTCTTTTTGAGATGAAGTCTTGCTGTGTTGCCCAGGCTGGAGTGCAATGGCCCGGTCTTGGCTCACTGCAACCTCCGCCTCTTGAGTTCAAGCCATCTCCTGCCTCAGCTTCCCAAGTATCTGGGACTACAGGCACCTGCCACCACACCTGGCTAGTTTTTCGTATTTTTAGGAGAGACAGGTTTTCACCATGTTGGCCAGGATGGTGTCGAACTCCTGACCTCGTAATCCACCCACCTCGGCCTCCCCAAGTGCTGGGATTACAGGCATAAGCCACTGTGCCCAGCCACGAACACATTCGTGAAAACAAAGGAGTACCAATCAGCTTAACAGATATGCAAACCAGGCTTGGTGCGGTGGCTCAAACCTGTAATCCCAGCACTTTGGGAGGCTGAGGCGGGCAGATCACCTGAGATCAGGAGTTCAAGACCAGCCTGGCCAACATGGTGAAACCCTGTCTCTACTAAAAATACAAAAACTAGCTGGATGTGGTGGCAGACGCCTGTAATTCCAGCTACTCTGGAGGCTGAGGCAGGAGAATTGCTTGAACCTTGGAGGTGGAGGTTGCAGTAAGCCAAGACCGTGCCATTGCATTCCAGCTTGGGCGACAGCTGCATATTTTAAGGCTGTAGAGAAAAATGGCATTCCTTAATTGTCGATTACAATAAATATTTGGGGACAAAAGTAACGATAACAAGGCCAGGTGCAGTGGCTCATGCCTGTAATCCTAGAACTTTGGGAGGCTGAGACGGATTACTTGAGGTCAAGAGTTCAAGACCAACCCGTCTTTCGTAGAGACAGCTGTAACCCTGTCTCTACTAAAAATCTAAAAATTAGCCGGGCATGGTGGCATATGCCTGTAAACTCAACTACTTGGGAGGTTGAGGCATGAGAATTGCTTGAACCCAGGAGGTGGAGATTGCAGTGACCTGAGATTGCATTACTGCACTCCGGCCTGGGCAACAGAGTGAGACTCTGCCTCAAAAAAAAAAAAAGTAATGGTAACAATACCAAACTTATATGAAGTATCACTTTTATGCAAAGTTCAAAATAATGAGAATCCCACTATCATCCCAGAAAAAAATATATTTACCTCCAGTGTTTATGTATTTATTTTTGGAGGCAGGAAAGTGAATAAACCCCAAAAAGCTTAGAAAATTGATGAATGGTTTCTGGTTTTCCAAGATTGCCAGCCTGGGCGACAGAGCAAGACTCCATCTCAAAAAAAAAAAAGACGCTTTTAATTTAATGTAAAATTTTTTTTTTTTTTTTTTTTGTCGAGAGGGGGTCTTCCTCTGTCACCCAGGCTACAGTGCAGTGTTGCAATCTTGGCTCACTGAAACTTCCACCTCCTGGGCTCAAGTGATCCTCCTGCCTCAGCCTCCTGAGTATGGTGTGTGCCACCATGCCCAGCTAATTTTCATATACTTTTTCTTGGTAGAGATGGGGTTTTGCTATGCTCTCCAGGCTGGTCTTGAACTCCTGGGCTCAAGTGATCCACCTGCCTCAGCTTCCCAGAGGGCTGGGATTACAGGTGTGAGCCACTGTGCCCAGCCCATAAAATTTCTTGACTTGCTAGATCAATTCAATTCTCCAACACTTTTTTTTTTTTTTTGAGACAGCGTCTCGCTCTGTCACCCAGGCTGTAGTGCAGTGTTGTGACCTTGGCTCACTGCAACCTCTGCCTCCTGGGTTTAAGCAATTCTTCTGCCTCAGCCTCCTGAGTAACTGGGACTACAGGCGTGTGCCACCATGCCTGGCTAATTTTTGTATTTTTAGTAGAGACGGAGTTTCACCATATTGGCCAGGCTGGTCTGGAACTCCTGACCTTGTGATCCACCTGCATCAGCCTCCCAAAGTGCTGGGATTACAGGCATGACCCACTGTGCCTGGCCCAATTCTTCAAACTTCAATTTGTCTTTTTTTGTTTCTTTTGAGATGGAGTCTCGCTCTGTTGCCCAGGCTGCAGTGCAGTGGCGCCATCTCAGCCCCCTGCAACCTTTGTCTCCGGGTTCAACTGATTCTCCTGCCTCAGCCTCCTGAGTAGCTGGGACTACAGGCACGTGCCATCACACCTGGCTAATTTTTTGTATTTTTAGTAGAGATAGTATTTTACCGTGTTGGCCAGGCAGGTCTTGAACTCCTGGCCTCCAGTGATCCGTCCTCCTCGGCCTCCCAAAGTGTTGGGATTACAGGTGTGAGCCACTGCACCCAGCCTCAATTTGTCTTTTTATGAAATACTTACTGAGACTCTACTATGTACTGGGATGAAACCCATGTAGCATTTCCCTTCTCTCCCCCTCAAGCATGAAAGTATCTGTTAAGTTATTCTAGCTATGTTTAAAATTTTGGGCATTTTCCAAACACTGTAATAGTTTAGGATGGTGACCAGTGTGGCTATCTATCTTATCTGCTGTGTGGCCTCACCTGCTCGCCACAGGACAGTCCGCTGCTCATAATTGGAGTTGAAGGCCTTTGAGAATGAATGGGATTCCTGCAAACAGTCCAACAGCTTGAAGAGGTGCTGGGAAGACATGTACTTATACATGCCCTGATCCTCCGTCTCTATGTGAATATCTGCATCCAGCGTGTCTTGCTAGAGGACAGGACAGAGGATAGAAGAGCTAGTGAAGAAGATGGAATGCTTTGGGCATTGTGATTGCAGACAATGGGAGTCATGAGTTCCCCAAAGTCATCCTCTCTATAAGACATACTTTATTCCCCAATACCCTGGAACGTTTCTATTTATACTCTGCTCACTGGCTGGTGAAGGAACACACTGAGCTGCTCCATGATGGCAGGCTTGGCTGGCCAAAGTTTCAGTTTTATCAGTGCTGCCTCTATTGCATACACAAGAGTGTGTGTCTCCAATGGTTTCACTATAGGAATGCATTCTTGAAAAATGTATGAAACACTAGGAAACTTTATTGAAAAAGTGGCCAAAATTAAAAAATCAAAAAGGACAGGCTTTGGCCCATAGCTGTATTTTTTTCAGCAGTAATGAAATTTACATTTATTTTTGCTAGTATTTAAAACACGACTTCCTCTATGAAAAAAAAAATCTTGATTTTGTCTACTCTTGAAACAACAGAAACTGTCACAACTTAACTCACTTTGATGGTAACTGGGTGCTAAAGCTGAGAGGTGGCAGCCGCTTTGACTGGGCTAGAGATTTCTGGTTTACTGCAGTCTCTACCCAGCCTGCCTCACTCACTTACTCACTGTCACTCACAGGATCTGCTAGCCCCTGAAGCACTGACATTTGCAACCCATGCTGTAGGATTACTGTCTAACTTTTGGACATTTTTCTCAAGAATCCCATATGTAGGCCAGGCATGGTGGTGCATGCCCACAATCCCAACACTTTGGGAGGCTGAGGCAGACAGATCCCATGAGTCCAAGAGTTTGAGACCAGGCTGGGCAACACGGCAAAACCCTGTCTCTCTTTTTTTTTTTTTAAGACGGGGTTTCACCATGTTGGTCAGGCTGGTCTTGAACTCCCGACCTCAGGTGATCCGCCCGCCTCGGCCTCCAAAGTGCTTGAATTACAGGCGTGAGCCACCACACCCAGCCGAAACCCTGTCTCTAAAAAAAATTAACTGGGCATGGTGGCATGTGCCTGTAGTCCCAGCTACTTAAGAGGCTGAGATGGGAGAATCACCTGAATCTGGGAGGCTGAAGTCCCAGTGATCTGTGATTGCACCCCTGCTCTCCAGCCTGGGTGACAGAGTGAAACTTTGTCTCACCAAAAAAAAAAGAAAAGAGAAAAGGAATCCCTGATACCCTGATATACAAAGATGCATATACTAAACAAAAAAAGTGAAATATTTGAAGGAATAACTGGGATCTTTATATATATCTTTTCCTTCTCACTTATTTGTGATTAAACTGTATCAATTATGGAGAACAGTTCCTATGATAACACTAGTATGGTGGCATCTAAGAAGTAGTATGCTGATAAACCTGCTCTCTGGGGTGTGTGTGTGTAGGCCCTGATTTTTAGTGTTTGCTGTTTTTTCGTAAGAAACTCCTTGCAAGGCCAATTTTAAGCTATCAACATGTCATTACTGAATGTGGGGTTAGAAGGAGACATGCATGACGGGCTCTGGAAAGCCAGTACAAGCTGGCTCCTATACACCACTACATCAAAGCAGCCTCCCTATGGACAGGGATGCTCTTCCCGAGGCCTCCTGTTCTTACCTGGGCAGCAACCATGTGCTCTGCATCCTCCTTTTTGCTGGTCGCAGGGTAGAACACAATGTTGTCAATGGTCTGTATCAATTCCAACTGGACCACACACTTGATGAGGAGGCTGGCAAACAGTTTCTGATCTATGTTAGATGATAAAGATTAACCCTAATAATGATTTAGCCAATACTGAAGAAATATCCACTGAGCTCCCACTATGTGCACGATGTAATTTTTTTTTTTTTTTTTTTTTTAAAGAGATGGTCTCTCACTATGTTGTCCAGGCTGGTCTTGAACTCCTGGTTTAAAGTGATCCTCCCACTTCAGCCTCCCAAAGTGCTGGGATTACAGCATGAACCACCACACCCAGTCAAGGCACAATTCTTGATTTTATGGCAAAGCAATGAATAAGCTGGACAAAAAAAATCCCTTCTCCCATGGTGCTGACAGACAATTAAAAAAAAAAAATATTTGATTATTATACTATATATTTTTTTTTTTTTTTTTGAGAGGGAGTTTCACTTTTGTTGCCCAGGCTGGAGTGCAATGGCGCGATCTCAGCTCACCGCAACCTCCGCCTCCTGGGTTCAAGCAATTCTCCTGCCTCAGCCTCCCGAGTAGCTGGGACTGCAGGCATGTGCCACCATGCCCAGCTAATTTTTGTATTTTTAGTAGAGACGGGGTTTCACCATGTTGACTAGGATGGTCTTGATCTCCTGCCCTCGTGATCCACCCGCCTCAGCCTCCCAAAGTGCTGGGATTATAGGCGTGAGCCACCGCGCCCAGCCAATAAAATATTTTAAGTATAAGATATTGTACGTCAAATATTGATGATAGGTAGAGACATGCATAAAAAGTGTCAGGATAGGATTGCAAGTTTAAGCAAACTAGTCGGGAAAAGTCTCCATGAAAATAGAAATTTGAGCAAAGACCTGAAGAAAGTGAGGGAATCAGCTATGCTGGTTCTGTGTCCTCTAGCAAGTTTCTCTGCCACCCAATGGGCTACCCCCTAAAGACCAGCTTTGGACTGTGCCCTAACCACAGGATGTTTCAGGTTTCTGCAATAGCCAGCCTCTCTGAAGAGGCCAGAAGCTTTTTTTTTTTTTTTTTTAATAGAAATGGGGTTTCCTCATGTTGCCCAGGCTGGTCTTGAACTCCTGTGCCACAACATTAAGCAATCTGCCTGCCTTGGCTTCCCAAAGTGCTAGCATTACAGGTGGGAGCCATTGTGCCTGGCCAAGAAGCTCAGTTTTGTGTGGCCACAGGAGTGGCTTTTCTTAGCGTTTCTGGATCACTTTCTGTCTAAAGATAGTAGCTGCTTTCTGCATTTTCTACTTCTGTATCCCTTAAAAGTGGTCTTTTATTCCTTTTAGTGGTTAACAACCTTTGACTAGTTAATTCTTTTTTTTTTTTTTTGAGATGGAGTCTCGCTCTGTCACCTAGGCTGGAGTGCAGTGGTGTGATCTTGGCTCACTGCAACCTCTGCCTTCCAAGTTCAAGTGATTCTCCTGCCTCAGCCTCTCAAGTAGCTGGGATTACAGATGCATGCCACCACGCTGACTAGTTTTTTGTAATTTTAGTAGAGACAGGGTTTTGCTGTCTTTACCAGGCTGGTCTCAAATTCCTGACCTCAGGTGATCTGCCTGCCTTGGCCTTCCAAAGTGCTGGGATTACGGGTGTGAGCCACTGTGACTGGCCAACAATTCTTTTTTTTTTTTTTTTTGAGACAGAGTTTCGCTGTGTTGCCCAGGCTGGAGTGCAATGGTTCAATCTAGGCTCACTGTAACCTCTGCCTCCTCGGTTTAAGTGATTCTCCTGCCTTAGCCTCCCAAGTAGCTGGGAATACAGGTGCCCGCCACCACACCTGGTAATTTTTTAAAATTATTTTCAGTATAGACGGGGTTTCACTACGTTGTCCAGGCTGGTCTTGAATTCCTGACCTCATGATCGGCCTTCCTTGGCCTCCCAAAATGCTGGGATTACAGGTGTGATGTGAGCCACTGTGCCCGGCCCCAACAATTCTTATATCGAATTTTCCCTGTTCGAATTAGCAGTGTGGTTTCTGCTTACCGACTAGACTAACTACATTCTCTTTATGTTCTCAATCCCTGGGGGCCCAAGGGTGGCCCATGTCAAATACATCATTAAGTGTTGACTGATTTGACTGTAATAACAGTAGAGGTTCTTTTCCTAACTTATTGTTATAAAATCAGAATGTTGAAAACATTAAATATTTTAGTGATAGAAAAAAAGGAGGTTGAATTGACCTCAAGTTTTTGAAAGTGGCTGTGAAATTATTTTTTCATTAAAAATTTTTTTTTCTTAGAGATGGGGTCTCACCATATTGCCCAGGCTGGTCTCGAACTCCTCAGCCCAAGCAATCCATTGGTCTTGGTCTCCCAAAATGCTGGGATTACAGGTGTGAGCCACTGCTCCCAGCCAGTTGCGAAATTATAAAAACATGTAACTATTCTCCATGTAGAATGTTTTAATTTTTTAAAAAAATACAGTGGAGCTGCAGCAGATGTACATTCAATTTATGCCAAGTCAATTAAAGCATTTTGGACCAAAAATAAAAAGAAGGAAACAATAATAATCGTGTAAAGATTTTGTCTGCCTGAGCTTATGTCCTGAAGGGTGGCTGAGCTGGGAGGCTGGGAGCAGCAAAGGCACTGTTCCCTGGGGGAATGGGATATGCCTCGAGTTCCAGAACTTCTCCGAGTGCAGACTCTCGCTGCACTGAGTGCTTCTCCTGTTGAAAGAAATGTACATCTGGCCTCCACACAGAAAAAGAGGCTGGGCCTGGTGGCTCACACATGTAATCTCAGCTCTTTGGGAGGTCAAGGGAGGAGGCAGGCTTGAGGCCAAGAATTCAAGACCAGCCTGGGCAACAAAGTGAGACCCCATCTCTACAAAAAATAAATTAATTAACCAGGTGTGGTGGCAGGTGCTTATAGTCCCAGCTACTCAGGAGACTGAGGTAGGGGAATTGCTTGAGCCCAGGAGTTTGAGGCTGCAATGAGCTATGATTGCACCAGTGTACTCCAGCTTGGGTGACAGAGTAAGATCCTGTTTCTGGAAAAAAAAAGAAAAAGAGATCATTCTATCACTGGACACTAGAGAGAAGCTGGCTGCATCAGTTATTGAGAGATGGCACATCAGTCCCAACATGGTACCTCTTTAATGAATTTCAAGGGTGACTACTTTTATTCCTTCTAAAGCAAATGGTGACCACACACTGTGTTGGTCAAATGTGCTGCTTCAGAAGTTAACTTCAATGTTAACAGCTATAGCCTAGCCTGTTGAGGATGCGGTGGGACTGCTATAAAGGCAAACAATGGGGCATACAATGTTCAAAGGACCACAACAGCTTTCACAAGTTCCCGTTCCTCAGGCTGCCTAAAATGTGTTTGAATCCCCACTCTACTACATGTTGTCAAGTTCTCTCATCTGTCTAAGCCCCAGTTCCCTCAAATGTAAGACAGTATCCCTTCAAAGGGGAGGATGGGGATTAAATGAAATAACAACACACATGAAACACATAGTACAGTGCCTGGTACATTATAGCTGTTAAACTTATTTTTTTAACAATAGCAAAACACACCATAAGCAATATTAAGAGACAATTTGGCAAAAATAATTTGAAACTTGTATCAGAAAAAGGATTTCTAGTATATAAGAGCTCCTCCAAACCAATAAACAAAAGCGCCAACAATCAACAGAAAATGAGCAAAGATTACAGAGTTCATAGAGAAGAAAACAGAAGTGGTGCTTTAACATACAAAAAGCTACTCAATTTGACTCATAATTTGAAAATTTCAAGTTAAAATTAGTCCGAAGTTATATTTAATCTGAAAAGATCATGTAAACAGGTACAAATTTAATAGCAATGGGGAAATATTTTAAAATGGCAAGTCCACTTATCCACTGATTCCAGTACATCTTGGGGAACTTATTAAACTCAAAAATGACGTATGTATTGGGTTATTCAATGCAGTATCGCTCCTAACAGCAAAAGATTAGAAATAACATAAGTGTCTATTAATAGCAACTCAATTAAGCAATAAAAGCATGTCTACAAACTGGAATAACAGACAATAGTATAAAAGAATGTGAAAGCTATTTATGTACTAATTTTGAATGATCTCTAAAAGATATAAGTGAAAAAAGAATAAGACATACTATTCCATAATTTGTAAAAGGAGAGAATTCATACGTAATATGTATGTATGTATGTGAATGTGTATGTGCATGTACTTGTTTGCATATGGATATTTTACTATGCACATATGTATGTGAATGTATATGTGCATGTACTTGTCTGCATATGGATAAAATGACTCTGGAAAGGTACAGAGAAATGGGTAACCTTGGCTGCTACAGAGAACGGGCAGACTGAGGCACAGGGCAGAAGGCGGCTTATCAGGTTTACCCTTTTGTGCCTTCTGAATATGTGAATCACATAAGCTTATTTAAAACAAATTAAAAAGTGGCCTTACTTGCATATGGTCTACTCTTCCAGCTGTCATCTGTTGGGTTAGAGAGCTGGCTCTGGCCTCTCTCAGAGGGATTTTTATCTATGCTGCTTAAAGACTGGCGGTCCAGATCCACATCCTAAATGTAAACCAGAAAAAAACACAATGCTCACTTTTCTTCACCATAATTTGGGCAGAGATGTGCCTGTTTTAATATGGCTGGTCCAGCCTCTATTTAAGTGCCTTGCTTTGCTCAAAATAAAATTATACCACATGCTTAATGTAGCATGCCTCACAGGCTGCAATGGGGAGATTAAGAATTTAAATTACTTCTCCTCCCATTAAAATTTCAATTCCTATTCCAACCCAAAGGACATTTCTCTACATATTAGGATTTAATAGTAAGTGTGACAAGTTTTTTATGAGATCAAGTTCAAAGATAAATTATTAGTGCAGTAACCAGTTTTTCAAAAAGTCCACAGCAGGCCAGGCATGGTGTATGTAATCCCAGCACTTTAGGAGGCCAAGGTGGGTGGATCACCTCAGGTCAGGAGTTCGAAATCAGCCTGGCCAACATGGTGAAACCCTACCTCTACTAAAAATAGAAAAAAAATTAGCTAAGTGTGGTAGCACCCAACTGTAACCCCAGCTACTTGGGAGGCTGAGGTGGGAGAATCGCTTGCACCTGGAAGGTGGAGGTTGCAGTGAGCAGAGATTGTGCCACTGCACTCCAGCCTGGGTGACAGAAAGAGATTCCATCTCAAAAAAAAAAAAAAAAAAAAAAAAAAAAAAAAAAATTTAGCTGGGTGTGGTGGTGGGCACCTGTAATCCCAGCTACCTGGGGGAGGCTGAGGCATGAGAATCCCTTGAACCTAGGAGGCGAGGTTGCAATGAGCCAAGAATGCACCACTGCACTCCAGCCTGGGGACAGAAGGAGACTCTGTCTCAAAAAAAATAAGATAAAAATAAAAAACTTGACAGCAGAAGACAGTTGCTTATCCCAAATGCTTTTTAAAATCTAATGGTCTTAGATTCATTTAGGAATAAAAGTTAATAACTCAACTCCTCTCTGTAAACCAAAGTACTTAAAAATGAGATTTGAATTAGAACTTCTTTATGTGGACTCACACAAAAAGAAAGAACTACCAGTTCTTTGGTGAAGAGGAAAGCACTATTAATTTAGGAGGGGAAAAAACAAGCATAAGAACATCAAAGCACTATTTATAATGGTGAAACCCTAGAACTAACCTGAGAGTCCAACAAGGGAAAAGTAAAGAAATTATAATAATACACAGCCACTGAAAATGCTGCTGTTAAAGAATTGTTTAAAATATGGAAAAATGCTCACATGTTGTATGCTAACTAGTCCCTCATTTAAAATATGGCTGGCTTTAATAGGTGTGGACAGTCACACAAAGCAGCAGCCAGAAATGTAAACTGTGCTTTTGATTTAGCGGTTACTTATTTGCTTAATGCTTTTCTGGACTTTCTAAAAAATATGTTATGAACATACATTATTTTTTGATTTTATAGCTTTTTTACTCACTTCCCATCAAAAAAGTACAAACTATACAGGCTTACTGATCTTTTACTAAGATAGGAGAAGAAAGAAAAGACAATCAAAGAAAAACCCAGCTTTTTCAGGAGTTCAAGACCACCCTGGTCAAATCTTACCATATGCTTTTCTGATGAATCCTCCTCCATTCCTGCGGGTCTCCATGTCAGCAAACTCAAGAAAAAGAAAGAGAAAGAAAATAATCAATGTGAAAGGCAATCAGGAGCTTAAGACATCCACTGAACACAGAGATAAACAGGAACACCCGCATGAACACTTACACATGTGGGATGGTTGTTTTGAAAATATCCAACATACAGTTGCAGGTTTCATCCCAGACTTCAGGACTGAATTTCTCTCCATTGGATATTACTAAGTTTTCTAAGCAATTTGTACCTGATCGAGCCAACTGTTCATTATCTGTAAAATAAAGCAATATCTATCATTAAATTTCTACTGCTATTTTGATGCCAACCAGGTCTCCAATACTGTATACAGTGAGTTGGAGATAGCAACTGGTAGGTTTCTAGGCTTTTAATTAATGAAGCCATGCTACAGACAGTATTAAAGTTTTTACTAAAATTTTTTTGAAGAGATAAAATTGTTTCTCATAGTTTTATTGCTAAGGAAGAAAGAAGGTCAACATTTTGCTACTTTAAGTGGCTCACGTATGAAAAATGATAATAGAAGAGAGAAAATATTAGACCATGTTTTAAAAATGTAGTCACTCATACACTACATTTCCAATTTTTGCCATCTGAACAATATCAAATGTTTTGTCATTTATTTTAAAATTAAGTCATTTTTTAAAAATGTAACTAAATTTACCCTTGCCCTAAGCCAAAATTATCTATGGATCCAGGTCTAATGTGCTAGCTGGGTATTTTTCCTGACAAACTCTAAAATAAACACACAACTACTCAAATGAAAAATGCCTCTTGATGAAGCTGGTGATCTGGACTGAAATAGCACATTTTAAAAACATTTTACTATAGAAAATTTCAAACATACACAAAAGAAAAAGAACGGTATAGTGCATGAAGGTGCATCCTGTAGAATGCAAAAATAACTATATCCCATCTTTAAGAAATGCTTTATGATCTGACTTGGGGGGATTGTTTTTACGTTGTAATTAAAGCATATACATTTCATTAACTAATATATATTGTACTCCTTGGCACTACATCCAAGCTTTCAAATATTGAAAAACCTAACCTCTCATTAAGGACTATGTAAGAAAAATGATGCCTAGAGACTTAAAGAATACCTTGTTTTACACACCACTGCAATTGTGCAAACACATCAGAAAGAAGAACTTCATTCAAAGCTTCATAAAACTGGGTAAAAACATCACAAATAGCATAAAGTGCGTGATTGCAGGTTGTTGTCATCCACTCAGATTTCTGGGAAAACAAAAAGATAATGCTTAAAAGCTATTCTCCCTGCAGTGAGATGGGCACTCTTGTACACTCCTGGCAAAATTTTTGTAGAAAGTGATTCGGTGGTATGTACCAATAGTCTTAAAAATGTTAATTCATTCATATGCACAGAGGATATATGAGGATATTTATAAAATTATGATAGTGATGCCAAAAGTGGAAGCCAGAAGTAACAAAACAAAACAAACAAACAAAAAAACCACTGGATAGATTTGGTTACTTAAAAGCTAAATTTTCCAAAATGAAAGGAAATAAAAATAATAAAGTGGGCAAATCATCTGAAACTCATGTAAGCATATGCTACATTATTTGTATATTTAAAAATGCATAAATCAATAGGAGAAAGATGACTCAGTAGATAAGCTAAGTCTAATTCATAAAATAATTCATAAAAGGCAAATTCCTAAAAATGATCAATCCTATGAGAGAAATTATGCCATCTCACTAGCAGTTTGAAACACTTTTTCAATGTGATACATTTGGCCTCTCAAATTAGCAATGACTAAAACAAATTAAAAGAAGACCTGGAATGAATATGGAGAAACAGGAACTCTCATGCATTGTTGACAGAAGTGTAAATGGCTACAGAGATATCTGCAGGTGGGCTTAGTGGTATGTATCAAAGGCTTAGTAATATGCATGCCCCAAACCTGGCAACTGGGCTACTTGTCTCTAAAGAGGAAACCACCACCATCAGGAGTACAAATGTAGCTGCAAAAAATATTCATTAAAGTGCTGTCCAGAAAAACAGGAAGCAACCTAAATGTTCATGAACTGTGGAACATCCACAACTAAGACTATTTTGTAGCCACTATTAAAACAACACTGTAAAAAAAAAAAAAGCTGGGTGTGGTGGCTCATACCTGTAATCCCAGTACTTTGGGGAGCTGAGGCAAGTGGATCACTTGAGGTCAGGAGTTTGAGACCAGCCTGGCCAATATGGTGAAATCCTGTCTCTACTTAAAGTAAAAAAATTAGCTGGACATGGTGGCACGAGCCTGCAGTCCCAGCTACTTGGGAGGCTGAGGCAGGAGAATCACCTAACCCAGGAGGCAAATGTTGCAGTGAGCTGAGATCACATCACTGTACTCCAGCCTGGACAACACAGAAAGACTCTGTCTCAAAAAAAAAATGAAACAAAACAAACGAACAAACGAAATTCTGTTTTCTATTTTTATTTGTTTTGAGACAGAGTTTTGCTCTTGTTTCCCAAGGAGTGCAATGGTGCAATCTTGGCTCACCACAACCTCTGCCTCCCAAGTTCAAGTGATTCTCCTGCCTCAGCCTCCTAAGTAGCTGGGATTACAGGTGCCCGCCACCATGCCCAGCTAGCAAACAAAATTCTAGGAGAAAAGTTATGGCTATGGAAAGATACTCATGTATTAAGTTTAAGAAGTAGTTTACATATGTGTGTTGGGATTCTATTTTCATAGAGGAAAATAGAAAATAGAATTTGTGGATCACAAATACATATGTGGGTGGACACGTGCATGAAAGCAACACTTGAAGGTCTTAACGGTGGCTGCCTATGAAAAACTACAACCGTGGGTGTTTAAATTTTTCTTTGTTTTGGCTGTGTTCTGCAGTTCTTCTTTTTTTTTTTTTTTGAGATGGAGTCTTGCTGTGTTGAGACAGGGTCTTGCTATGTTGTCTAGGCTGGTCTTGAACTAGTGGCCTCAAGCAATCCTTCTACCTCACCTTCCCAAAACGCTGGAATTATAGGCATGAGTCATTGTGCCCAGCCTCTGAACCATATTTAAACCATGTAGAAGACTGAGAAAAATTTGCAAAAACATTAACTCTAATTTTGGATGGTAAAAGAATTTTTTTATATTTGCCTAATATTCCATATTAAGGATATGTCACTTTTATGTTGGGATGAGGGAGGGAATGGTGTTCCCAAAAGAAACTAAAAAAGTTACTTTCCCATCTAAAAATCTTGAGCCGGAATATCTTTTCACTATCCCTGTACCTCTAAGGGACAAACAAAAACACCTACAGGCATCAAACATCCTTATTAAAAGAAGGCCTAATGTTCAACATCATCTCCAAATGCAACTTCATTAAAAACCCTTAAAGGACCAGAGACATTCCCCTTTCTGACTGTTCAGAGGTTGATATGAACAAAACAACTACAATGACCAGTCAGGAGCCCTGCTGAACTGGAAGGTGCAATGCCTAAGGACCAAGCAGCAGAACAGAGAGATGTATTTCCTCTCACTCTTCTAAACATGGGGAGAGTCACTCAGGACTAGCTGTTACTGGTAGGGGAGTACCAGAAAGGTGTTTCCATTTTTAAAACCTTACGTTGCTCAGTATTTAAGAACTCCATGTAGACGATGATGCAGCCCCTCTAGGCAAATATAGGTCAGAAAGGCCTTCCTCTCCATCATAACCAGGGCAGTGCTGTAGTTATCACCTACCTCTGATTGCTGCTCAGGGAGTTTCATATTGTCAAAAATCCGAAACACGATTCTGAACAGGTCCTGCCACCAGTGCTTTTCAAAGGTGTGGCCATAGCTCTTCATGATCTCAAACATGACTGTGAGTCCTCTGGAGGAAACAAAGTCAGGCACAAAAGAGAGTGTGGTGGAGAAGAGAACAGAGAAGAGAGTGGGGTCAGGTGAGCAAGTGACTGAGGTTCATTTCAGTGATGTAAGGGGCCACCGCACAGGGACATGGTTACCTTGTTCGTACATCTAACTTGCATCTATTAATGATGCAGGAAAGTTCAAATAAGATGGGGAACCAGCCTCGGACCCAGACTCTGTCACCAGGAGCTACATTCATGTCATCACTTGTGTATTCTTGTAGCACCTATGATGAAAATCACATCTCAGGTGTAAACTAAGCATGCACAAGGAAGGAACTAAAGGGAATTATATATAGATTAAGGCCCCACACATTTTTCTCTCCAAAAATTTCCACTCAGCAACGGGACAGTGGGAAGAGAGGACACAAAGACATTATCTGTCCCAGAGGGCACATGAGCAGTTTCCCCGTACAAACCTACGGACCTCTGCGGGTTTTACAACAAGTTGAAGGGGTCAGATCACAAGAGTCCTGGGGGTGGGGGTGTTATACTAAGAAGAGCTCTAAAGGTCAAATGCTGTTGACAAAATATCCAGGATGATTCATTATCTTGGGACTTTCTGGAATGTTACTGTAATACATACTACTTAAAATAATACCAGCAGCTACTATTTACTGAGTGCTATGGACCAGTCACTGTTAAAGTTCTTTTCAAGAATTAACAATTCTCACAAGGATTCCAAGTGGCAGGTAGAAAAGACGGTCTTGGGTTACAGATGAATTAAGTGAGGCACCAAGAGTTTCAGTAAGCTGCTCAAGGTCATGCAGCTAGGATGTGGCAGGTTTTCTACTCTCTGCCCTATTTCTGGGATTTCGACCCCTCTGCTCTGTAACCACTCTTGAAGTCGTACTGAAATTTCTTTATCAACTCTGGTTATCTAATGTTAGGCAATTTCTCTCTGTGCTTCAGTTAACTCCCTTGTACAATGAGGTATAATTACGTATCTTATAGGTCTGATGTGAGGACTAAACGAATCAACACACAGAAAATACCTAGAATGCTGCCCAACAAGTACTAAGTGCTCAATCAACACTGGCCCTATTATCATCACATCTTAGTGAGCTGTTGTAAGGGATGAGACATCGTCTTAGAGGTTTATAGCTCTTTCTGTAAAGGATACTTAAGTAGAGATCTACACAGGACATCACAGTTTAGATAGACTTGTTTTCACCCACTTTCAATGTTTTGGTACTCTGTAATTTAAACCAACTAGGCCTCTTTAGAAAGATGAGACACATGAAAACAACAACAATAACAACAACAACAACAAAACAACCCATCATTTTTAGGAGAAAACAAAAGGTAATTTTAAAATATGATTTCTCGGGCACATTACAATGGCATGCCATTTCCTAAAAGAGAGGTTTGTTTTCTTTCAAATAGAAAGGTCTAGCTTCTTGAGCTTTGCCAAAATACAAAAGCTAAAATACAACAAACTTCTACAAAAACAACTTGTAAAATACCACAGGTTCAATATGAATTAAAATACAGAATTTCACATACACCAAAGAATGCAAAGGCCTACCTCCCTGCCACGGCGGCATTTTGAAATAAACACCTAATTTAGGGCAAACACACATTTCTAAAACAGTAGCTGGAAAGCTCTTTGTTAGGACCAAGAATTTCTGCTCCATGACCCTTTTTCCCTTCACTGCCCATCTAAGTAAAGTGAGGAAAAACGAACCCGAGGCCTCTCAGAGACATATTTGCCACAGAAGCGGATGAGCCGAATCGCTTCCATGCTTGTGTCAGGGAAAGCGGCGTTGCAGGCGAACTCTGATAAGCATTTCACAGCGTCCTGAAAGGAATCGATGGCTGCAGGAAAATGGTGCTGGAAAATAGTTGCTGGGGGAACACAAGGCACATTTTTCATAAGACCAGGATTTAGAAATGAGGACGAAAAGCGCACACACACACACACACACACACACACGAGATAATTAGCTTTGTGAAAATCTAAGAAAAGCATGTCAGTATCTTTGGAAGATAGTTTTTCTTACTAAATTACTCAGGAATGAATACATTGGGTACAGCTTGGGCTAGACAGTCTTCCTGAGCTCAAGTAATGATGTAAAGACCCAAATATCCATTCATTCAACATTTATTGAATGCCGACTATGTGCAAAGATTACTCAATGCCTAAAAATTTCCATAAAGACCAAGTAAACATTTTGTTACATCCTGGCAGGCAGAACCCAGGATTCCTGGTCAGTCCAGAGGAGGGGGACACTGCACTAGCTCATGGCACTCAATAGGCCACAGAAAGCGCACTTGTTTATGTCATGACAGCTGAAATAAGAGGGCAGGGTGCCACCTTCTTCCCCACAACTGGGAATATGCGCCTTGGGTGACTAAATTTTTTTTTTAAAGCTGTTTTATGCACGCCCATGTTGGCAAATGACCACAAAAGCACCATGAGTATCGGCTGTGGAGTTAATAATATATGGACATCTTAGTGAGTACACACATGGAACCCACCAATAATGAGGAGCGACTGTACTTCTTTCATAGTCATTACAGTGGCCTTAGGAATGAATCGACTTTCAAACTTCATCTGGCTTGAAATAACATTCACGTTTGTCTGCTGGACCCAAACTGACTGATAACAGGAAAGGCCATTTAGAAAAGGGAAGGAGTAAGTCAAAACAGAGTTAAAATGCGGATTAATACTCATCAAGCGCTTACAACACTGTCTGGCACATGACTATATCACAGTAGAGCCAAGGTAGGGAGGCCCCTGTAGGTAGTAAAATAGCAAGTAAGTGACACCCTTCTATACTTGCAGGTGGGACATTAGTAGGGAGGGAACACAGCCACTTACTGACAATGTGGCAAGTGGTCTGGAAGGCCAGCTCCACAATGTTCCCATCATGATCAGAGGCTGCCTGGTGGAACACGGCAAAGATGTTCTTCCAGCCTGAGCGGATGTTGGCCGCCTGGGAGGTCACCATCTGGGCAATGCAGCGGATCACCATGTCCCGGATGGTGGGAGACCTGAGGAAGGAACCGGACAGCCATATTATTTGTGCTTTAGAGAATGGGAAGAGAAATGAACATAGCTCACCCCTTAGAAGCAACATTTAAACACACATTTCTTATAGCACACAGCAATCCACATTTGGGCTCTGCCCCATTTCCTCCCACTTCCATTCCAAAACTAGTATGCTGCATAGAGCTACAACCACCAGCCTGCAATCACAAAACAATAAACTCAAGGTTGAAAAGCTGACCCTCTGAATGGAAGAACAAAAGGAAAAAGGCTGGGTCTCAAATAGTCCCTATCTGGGTCATGTAACCAAAGTTGAAATGCTTGCCTCTGACTCCTTTTTCCTGTTATGAAAATAATAAACAGCCTTGCAGTTGAAGTCACTGTTGGTCAGTTTTTCCGGCCAGAAACGTTTCTAATAATATAATTCTGCCACCTAGAGATAACCATTACTAAATTTTGTGTATACCTTCTTAGATTTTTGGGCAGGGATATACCTATGTGATAAACACATATATGTGGATTGGAGTATACATATATAATTTAAGATGCAGTGTTTACCCAAATTATTATAAAGCAAAACGTGAGAAAATGGCTGATTTTCTGGAACAGCTGCAACTGTCTCACAACCTATTAAGACATACTATTATGAAGGAACCCTATTATCTCACAAATAGCAAGAAGAAGAGCTATATAAGCCTATTGCTTCAATAGTACTAGCTTTAAAAGTCAGTACAGTGGCCTTCAGATTGCTGGTTTAACTTTCATTTTTTTTTTTTCTTCAGACAAGGTCTTGCTATGTTGCCCAAGCTGGAATGCAGTAGAGCAATCTTGACTCATTGCAACCTCTGCCTCCCAGGCTCATGACTTTCAAATTTTATCTGGCTTAGAATAACATTCATGTTTGTCTTCTAGGCACACACTAACCAATAATAGGAAAGGCCATTTAGAGAAGGCAAGGAGAAAGTCAAAACAGTTAAAAATTAGCTGAAAGTCCATAAAGTAAACATGCCACCTGAAGATAACAAAGGACTGGCTATACAGCGTAACTTACTTCAATATATAATAAAAATGAATTCATGGTTGTCTCCCCATGGAGAATAAAGCAACTTTTTGACAAAACTATATTTATTAAAATGTTTTTTGCCTGATTGTTAGAAGTAAGATATGATGATAGTTTTGGAAAACCCAGAAAAAGTATGATTCAAAAAATTCACCTGAGCCCAGTGGGTTCATGCCTGTAATTCCAGCACTTTGGGAGGCCGAAGCAGGTGGATCACCTGAGGTCAGGAGTTCAAGACCAGCCTGGCCAACATGGTGAAACCCCATCTCTACTAAAAATACAAAAATTAGCTGGGCATGGTGGTGCATGCCTGTAATTCCAGCTACTTGGGAGGGTGAGGGAGGAAAATTGCTTGAACTGGGGAGGCAGAGATTGTAGTAAGCCAAGATCACACCACTGCACTCCAGCCGGGGCCACAGGGTGAGACTACATCTCAAAAAAAAAAAAAAAAAAAAAAAAAAAAATCCTTTACATGATATATGGTATTTCAAATGGAGAGATAAATTTCACTATCTCCATTATATTGCCTGTCCAATTCTACAACCAGCCCTTTTCTCTAAACTATTAGTCATTTCCCATATTATAAACATTGTGAACCTTCTTTTTTTTTTTTTTTTTTTTTTGATGTGGGTTTTTTTTTTTTCCCGGGCTGGGGTGAAATCGGGGTCTTTTCTCACTGCAATCTCTGCCTCCTGGGTTCAAGCGATTCTCCTGCCTCAGCCTCCTGAGTAGCTAGGATTACAGGCGTGTGCCACCATGCCCAGCTAATTTTTGTATTATTAATAGAGACGGGGTTTCATCATGTTGGCTATGCTAGTCTTGAACTCCTGACCTCAGGTGATTCACGTGCCTCGGCCTCCCAAAATGCTGGGATTACAGGCATGAGCCACTGCACCGGGCCAAACATTTGTTTGTGAACATTTTTGACAGCTAAACAATATCCCATGTTGTGCCTGTACTAACATTTATTTTACCATTTGTTTATTTAGATGGTTTCTGTTTTTTTCTAGAAAACTATTTTCTGTGACTTATAATGCTTATTATATTTCATATTAACTGCTTTGGATAATTACAGAAGTGTGGAGTTACTGAGTCAAAGGGGCACAAAAATATCAGGATTCTTAACACATATCACCAAAATGCTTTTGGAAATGTTACAGTAAGTTACAGTTTCACTGACAGTATCTAAGACTGCCTGGCAACACATGATTCTAAACTCACTCTCCCCTTTTCAAATGGGAATAGGGGGACAGGCAGGGAAGGTCTGGAGTTAGAAGATAAGGGCTTCCATGCAATCAGACTCGAGCACATGGCTTGGCCATGTGAGGCCTTAGTCTCCTCATGCACTCTCAACGATGTTCCCAAAGGTGGGAAAATACTTTTGTGTATTTGCCAAAATCAGGGTTCTGCCAGACTCTGGGCTTAATTTTGGTTCTCTTGAAATGACCAATAAAGCAGACAATGCAGACGCCAGGAGAAAGGCACGTCAAGGACACTTTTCTGGTGTCCTTTTATTCACTACCGTAACAGCCTGCTGCTCTGGCTTCCAGCTTGGGAGCTTTCATTTTCTTTAAAAAAAAAAAAAAAAAAAAAGAAAGAAAGAAAGAAAGGACAGATGTGGCAGCTCAAGCCTGTAATCCAAGGACTTTGGGAGGCAGAGGCAGGCGGATCACTTGAGGTCAGAAGTTTGAGACCAGCCTGGCCAACATGGTGAAACTCCATCTCTACTAAAAGTACAAAATTAGCCAAGCATGGTGGTACGTGCCTGTAATCCTAGGTACTTGGGAGGCTGAGGCAGGAAAACTGCTTGAACCCGAGAGGCAGAGGTTGCAGTGAGCCAAGATCGCACCACTGCACTCCAGCCTGAACAACAAGAGTGAAACTCTGTCTCAAAAAAAAAGAGCCAGGCTGATCTGGAGTACACTTTTTAGGGGAATGCGTGCAGATATGAGGAATTAGGTCCAACGGTCTTCCCTGACATTTCTTCCTTTATACTCCATAGCCAATTCATCACACATGGTGTAGGATTCCCTTTCCAAATAGGCACAGAATCTAATCCATCACTGCCACTGCTCCCACTTGGTCCAAACCTGGACAACTACAATGGCCTCCTACCTCATCCTACTGCCCCTCATTTTCCATGGAAAAATGCAGGGTTATCCTTTAAAGTATGTCAGACCATTTCACTTCTCTGCTTAAAATCCTCCAACCGCTTCCATCTTTCACGAGCGCAATCCAAAGTGCTGACAATAGCCAATACCTCCTATGTGATCTAGGTGCCCTGCCACCACTGGGAGGGACTTCACCTTCTACTACCTGCCTTGTTCTCTCCATTCCAGCCACACTGGCCTCCTTACCTACGCCAAGCACTACCTGCTACAGGCCTTTTGCTTTTGCTCTTCCCCTTGTTCATAATTCTCATGCCAAGGCAGCATATGGCTACTCTTGGCTTATTCCTGACTTCCCTCAGGCCTTTTTCCTAAGGGTTCTCTTAGCAAACACATGTTAGCTGGCTGCCCTGGATAGAAGAATGCTTCCATCACTATCCCCTTACCTTGACATAATGTCCTTCAGAGCACATTACCACCACTGATATTTATGTTCAAGTGATTCTCCTACCTGAGCCACTCGAGTAGCTGGGATTACAGGTGCCCACCACCACGAATGGCTAATTTTTTATTTTTAGTAGAGATGGGTTTTCACCATGTTGGCTAGGCTGGTCTCAAATTCCTTCTCAGGTGATCCACCCGCCTCGGACTCCCAAAGCGCTGGCATTACAGGCGTGAGCCACTGCACCCAGCCAAAAACAGGGATTTTAAAATGTTTTCTTTATAGTCCCTAGCAGGTGACAGGCCTCAATAAGTATAGGCTGAGTGAGCGAATGAACAGTATGGGCCTGGTGTCCTGACCTCTTTTATATCTCCCTGGGGGAAAAGTGCTAGGTCACATAATTCTTATCCTGGTTTGAGGAGGCATCTGCAGTGGCTCTTTCTCTAATCTCCCCCAGCACCAGCCCCAACAGAGGTTCATGACACATTTCTACAAGTTGCAGGATGACATCTGTCCTCCTAGGAAAGGTTACACATAGATCTTAGTGAGATTTATTTCAGAAAAATCTACGTGAATCACAGTGTATTCATTCTATTTGTTTCCACTGACAAGGAAGGAAAAAAAATAATCATGTGGTTAGCGTTAGGAGGGCTTCTGGGAGCTCCAAAAGGAAATTTGACCAAAGGTCTTCCAGAGCAAAACACATACCTGTTTTTCTTCATAATATGCTCAAAGGGCCTCAGAAAATCTTTCTGGAAACGGAAGTTGGCTAATTCACCCTTCTCAAGAAACTTCATGGAGAGCTGCCTTAATGAGTCAACAGCAAAGATAGCCACATCTTCATTAGGGTTGCAGCCAACCTGAGCAGAAGAGGAACTGATGTGAAACAGGTACAGTGTAACAATGACAGAAGTGGGGCTCTCAGCAGCAAAGATGGCCAGCCTACCTTCAAAACAAACATTCTGGGAAAACACACCTAAGAAGAAAAGAAAATGCTATTTCTTGGCTATGATCTGTCCAATTTTATTTAAGTGTAAGGACGAAAATCAGTCAGTATTGCATATTTAATTAAATATGCATTTAAAATGTGCTTTTTTTTTTCTTTAAATTTCATTTTATTACTATTATTATTTCCAAGACGGAGTCTGGCTCCGTTGCCCAGGTTAAACTGCAGTGGCATGATCTCTGCTCACTGCAACCTCTGCCTCCCAGGTTCAAGTGATTCTCCTGCCTCAACCTCCCAAGTAGCTGGGATTACAGGTGCCTGTCACCATGCCCGGCTGATTTTTGTATTTTTAGTAGAGACAGAGTTTCACCATGTTGGCCAAGCTGGTCTTGAACTCCTAATCTCAGGTGATCCACTCACCTCGGCCTCCCAAAGTGCTAGGATTACAGGTGTGAGCCACTGAGCCCAGCCTATTTTTTCTTTCTTTTTTTGCTATTAAACTTGCAACTACACTCAATTTTTCCTTTTTTTTTTTTTTTTTGAGACGGAGTTTCGCTCTTGTTACCCAGGCTGGAGGGCAATGGCGCGATCTCGGCTCACCGCAACCTCCGCCTCCCGGGTTCAGGCAATTCTCCTGCCTCAGCCTCCTGAGTAGCTGGGACTACAGACACGCGCCACCATGCCCAGCTAATTTTTTTGTAGTTTTAGTAGAGACGGGGTTTCACCGTGTTGACCAGGATGGTCTCGATCTCTTGACCTTGTGATCCACCCGCCTCGGCCTCCCAAAGTGCTGGGATTACAGGCGTGAGCCACGGTGCCCGGCCTTCAATTTTTCTAATTGTAAAATACACATTACATAAA